AATTACTCATTTTTTTTTCAAAAAAACAACATCATACTTTAATAAGAAACATTTTAATCGAAAAATATCACTAGATATTATTATTTAAATAATTAAAATATTACAATATATCATTTAAAAGGAATATAATACCATATATCATGCGAATAGAAATATAACAATATGAGACATCTAAAACCATAGTTTATATAATTGTTATAAATTCTATATTTTAAATGAAATAACATTAAATAGTTAATAGAATTAACTAATTTGTAAATAACTAAAAATTAATTAAAACCTACATATAATTAAAATATAATTAAAGGTTAAAATAAAATTTTGATCTAATAAATATGTTAATTGTATAAAGGGAATAGGACTAATTAAGGTAATTAACTTTTTAGTTTGTTCACATGTAGGTAACTATCTTTTTTTTGTACATACCTAGGTAACAAACTTTTTGAAACTTTTCACATATGACCATTATGACCTGCTGTAGCAGGTTACATCCGGCTACAGTAGGTCATAATGGTTACGTTTGAACACTTTCAATAAGTTCGTTAGCTAGATGTGTACAAAAAAAATAGTTACCAAAATATGAATAAAACCAAAAGTAAGAGTAAATTACACGAATGGTCCATATGGTTTGGGGAAATTTATGCGTTTGCTACTGTTTTGTTTTGTTGCGTTTGGTCCATGTCTTACCTAAAAAGACTAGTGTGTCCTTATTAATTTATTTTTTTTAATTAATTTTTTTATTTATGTATTTTTTTTATATGTTTAAAAAAACTAATAGACCTCACATATCTGTATCTCCTCACCATCCCATCTTTCATCATCTTCAACTTCTATTTCTTTTTCATCTTTAATGACAACGAAGTCTTCACCATCTATTCTTTTTCGATCCTTCAACTCCAGCGAACCAACACCACAACTCAATAAAATGAAGAGACAGTGGGTTATGGTGTTTGTTCGCCAGAGTTGAAGGACCAAAAAAAAAAAGGATGGTGAAAAGTTCCATTTCACTAAAGATTGAAAGAAAATAGAGGTTGAAGAGGATGCGAGATGGGATGGTGACCGGTGGGACCTAAATTAAATTTCTCAAATGTGGTTTCAAGTTTACGGTGAGGAGATACAGATATGTGGGGTCTATTAATTTTTTTAAACATATTAAAAAAACATAAATAAGAAAATTAATTAAAAAAATAAATTAATAAGGGCATAATAGTCTTTTTAGGTAAGACAGGGACTAAGTGCGCAATAAAAATAAACAGTAGGAACCATCCGAGTTAAAAAAAATAAGTTAGGGACCAAATGCACAAATTCCCCCAAACCATAAGGACTATTCATATAATTACTCTTACTTTTGGTTTTGTTCATATTTAGGTAACTAATTTTTTTTTTTTTTACACATGTAGGTAACAAACTTGATGAAACTGTTCACGTATAACTATTATGACCTGCTGTAGCTGGATGTAACCTGCTATAGTAGGTTATAATGGTCATATGTGAACAATTCTAAAAAGTTTATTACTTGATATGTACAAAAAAAAAGATAATTACCTATATGTGAACAACCCGAAAGTTAATTACTTTAACAAATCCAATTCCCTTGTACAAATTCAAAAATAATTTAACTATTTAATAAACTTTATCCCTTACAATGGTTTTAAGCGGTGATAAGGACATCTCGGACACGACACCTTTTTTACACAAAAATAATATGAATTCTTTTTCAAAATTTTCAACTTTTTACCGATGTTAATAAATATGATAACATCAAATTTTATATATATTATTCTTTTACACAAAAATAATATTAAAATTACATATGTTACTTTTAGTCGCTTATGTTTTACGTAAATTCATTTATAGTTTAGTTAATATGATTAGATATGTTCTAAATTTGATAATTATTAATTATAATATTAAGTTACATGTTAAACTTATATTAACTAATCAAAATTGTAAGACTTAACTTTTTATGTTTCGTATTTATTTAAAGTTCTATAAATATTTTACAACAAAATAGATGTAAATGCAAATATAAAAGCTAGCTGAACGTTATTTTTGATAGTTTATGAAAAAACTAAAATAAAATATACTGAAAATAAATTTTTTTGTTCAAAACATGATGTAAAAAATAATTTGAGTTTAATATCACCTGTTGTGACGTCGGTCTGCTAATATATCATTTATCATTGTTTATTCTTTATTTATTTGTTTATTTTAGTCTTATATTTATTTGTTATCTCTTGGTTAAAAAGAAAACAAATTAAATTTCTTTTTATGGTAGTTTACAGATAAAATAAAATATTAATATTGTATTCATTTTTTCGTTCGAAGGTCATTATTTGATGCGAAAAATTTATCGTAATATTGCAAATACGATTAGGAAGGCAACAAATGTGTTTTAGATTTTAAAATATCTGGAAAGTTTCTACTTTTTAATTATTTTAATATGACAAATTTATGATTTATTTTTATAATGTATATACAGTATAACAATTGTTTTTAATTATATGGCTAAATATATTATCATATTATTTTATATTGGATTTATCGAACATTATTACTTTATTTCAGTTATCAACTATCTTGTTAAATCAAAGTTATTTTTTTAGCTACTCTGCCAAATTAATCAAAATATTATATTTACAACTAGAAATGGAATAAAACAAGAAAAAATTGTTGGCCCGGTCCTTAAATACACCGACGTTCCTCGTGAACTCACGTTTTTTGTAACGAAAAAAGAAAGAAATTCTACATACTATTTATAAGGTGATCTTTGACCGAACGTATATTTTTGAATTCTCGTAGACTTAGATTAAGACATACATATAAAACCAAGATTGTAGAACTCGTCACTTGGTATCTGTTTGACTGACTACCGAGTAGCGAGTACTCGGGAGTACTCGGATTTGATAATTCATGTAGAAATATTTTTAGGAAAATTATATATGTCAAAATCATAAGCTAAAACCATTAGTTGATTGAAATATATAACAAAATTAGATAATATGAATACACAACAACTGAAAAACACATAACAGTCTCATTTCGTGAATAATTACTGAAAATTTAAGATATATATATATATGTAGTAATAATCACATGTGTATGTGATAAATAATAAATCATTAAGTATATATTATACATATTAATCATTGATTTGACTGAGTTTTCAACATTGATCGGTTCAGTAAGGGGCCGATCGGGAAGTACTCGGGATTTTGTAACTCACATCGGCAAGGGGCCGAGTAGCAAGTACTCGGATGAGTAATCGGCCAACTCGACGAGTTTTACAACACTGCATAAAACTAAAAGTCATAAACATTAAAGTGTATTTAAAGATTTTTAGCTAAAATAAAGGGCAAAATGCATAAAAACATAATCATATATCTACTAACAATAAAAACCTTAACCACTTGGGTTGTGGTGACTTGGTAAGGTATGTGGAAGATATGGTGGATAACCTATTGACCCATGTTCAAATCCTGACACTACTAAGCCCTTGTAGCCATGGAGGTTTGCCTGCAGTGACTCCAGGGCATGAGGCAAAGCCTCATGTTTGCAGCGGGGGATTAGTCGGTGCGCGAAAGCTGGCCCGGAAACCCTCGTTAGAGAAATTTCATTTCCAAAAAAATAAAAATAAAATCCTTTATATATATATATATATATATATATATATATATATATATATATATATATATATATATATATATATATATATATATATTTGAAAGTTACAAATTGACATTTATGACATGACATTTATGTTGTTTGTTTTTAGATTGATATGAGAAAAAGAAAAACAAGTAACATTTATTTTTGCTTTAGTAAAGTGTCCTTGAGTAATAATTTGTTTTGTACGTTTTACTTTAGATAAGAGACAATATCACTTATTTTTATTTACATGTTAACATAAAACGAAAAAGATAAATAACATGTCACAAATCAATCGGTAATTTTATAAAAAAAAAATCCAAATAATTGGGTTAATTTGAAAGGTAACTGAAAATGTAAAGATTATTTATTTATTTATTTATTTATTTTTTGTCTATCAACAAAATACAAATATTTTTTCAAATATTGATAGATAAATAATTATGATTTTTAGCGTCTTCCCTTAAACAAAAGAACTATATAATAACAATTTTACACCATTTGTTTACTATACGAAAACAAACTGAATAATTATTCTAAATTTTTAATTATTCTAAATTTCTAATATAATTACTATGAAAAAAATAATAAGTAAACTCATATTTTGGTACCAAAAAAAACAACGTAATTGTGACTAATTCTACAAAAGATGAGCAAATTTGTGGTCAATATTTTCTTTTCAAAAAAAATAAATAAATAAATCTATAACTTCGATTATTAAAAGCATTTTATGGCTTCTTCCAGAAGGTCTTTCTGATAAGCACGACTACTTATATTTAGGCTAGAATATAAGTCATTGCATGCAATAATTATAGCTGTTCTGCTTATCACTCGGTGGGACCAGAATATACCCACCCTTGCGTAACGCATGTCAACTCCACGGACATGCCTATTGCGCGACACGTGTTTAACTAGACTTCACTTGTCAATACGTGTGATTAACACTTTACCTAGGCGCGTGAGGGAATGCAACCTTTACAAATCCCAAAAAATCTTTATAAATACTACCTCTTACTCACTCACAGTTGTGATACACTCTCTCTCTCTCTCTCTCTCTCTCTCTCTCTCTCTCTCTCTCTCTCTAAGAAAGAAAACCATCTCCGTCTTTCCGCGTCGATCACGTCTCTGGTAATCTTTTTCTCCATGTTTTAGTTTCTCTCTCTATATCTATCTACGTGTATGTATGCATACGCCTTTAGTATTCGATCGGTGTACGGAAAGCTATGAATTTCTCTTCAATTTCTTCTTCTTGTTATTATGTACACATGCTGTTCATAAATTTATTCGATTCAAATTTGTTTTTGTTATAATAGTGTTGATCAAACCCTAACTGATTGCGATAGACGAAAATCATGATTTCTGGGTTGCCAAGAGAGCTTGTTTTTCTGATACTTCAGTTCCTAGATGAAGAGAATTTCAAGGAAACACTACACAGGTAACTTACAAATCCTTCGTTGAAATTTAAATTTACTATTTTTTAGCTACCAATTTTTTCTTTTTATGAATGAAGGTTGGAATCGGAGTCTGGATTATTCTGTAATATCAAGTATGTTGAAGAGCTTGTTACTAAAGGAGATTGGGATGAGTTGGAGAAGTATTTGTCTCCTTTCGTACAAGTTGATGATAATCGTTTTTCAGTGAAGATCTTATTTGAGATTCGTAAACAGAAATACTTAGAAGCTCTAGACACGTACGTAATATCTTATTTTTGTTTTAATCATTAATTAATAGTTGACTCGAATACTTAATATTATATATTTATATTTAATAATTTTGTTGGTTGATGATCACAGAAAGGATCGCGCTAAGGCTGTGGAGATTCTAAACAAAGACCTGAAAGTTTTCAAAACCTTCAATGAAGATCTGTTCAAGGAGATGACACTTCTTCTCACTATGGGGAATTTTAGGTACTTTTCAACTTTAATTATAACACCAATCATGGATCATACATACATATATACAATCTGTTTGATTTTTTTTTTCTTTCAGGGAGAATCCACAGCTTTCTAAGTACACAGATACAAAAACCGCAAGAGCTGTATTGGTTCATGAGCTCAAGAAGCTGATTGAAACAAACCCACATTTGAAAGATAAGTGTCAATTTCCTGCTTTCAAGAACTCAAGGTTGCGTTTATTAGTCAATCAGAGGTAATTAATATACAAATACTAGCTATAGTAATGAGAATAATAATAATAATATTTAATGTTTGTTTATCTAGTAGCTAATTATATGTTGTAACCAATTTTGCAGCCTAAACTGGCAACATCAACTTTGCAAGAACCCGAAATCCAATCCTGATATCAAAACTCTCTTTGTTGATCATGTTTGTGGACAACAAACAAATGTTGCTCAAGCTAATTCATCTCACGTGACTAATGAGATTGTGAATTCCGTGCTTAGAACAAGTGCTTTTCAAACGGTAGGTTTTGGTTTTAACTTTTAGCTCTTAAAAGTCAATTAATTGTTACAATTAATTTTTGTTTCTTTGTTGATGAAATATTATTATTTTCTTCTTTCAGCCATTGAAACAAGAAGCAGCACCATTTCTTGGACAAGGAATAGTCAACACATCATCTTTGACTCACCAACCTGTTTCTTCAAGGGCTCTTCTTCTTGCTGCTAACATTTCAGGTAACGTTAATTAATCTGTTTCTTGAATCTTGATATATAGTCTCTTTTTATACATAGATTGATAATTAAATATGAAATTGTAGATTCTGAGCACACCTTGAAGAGAGCAAGTCCTTTTGGGATATCAGAGGAGGTAGATTTTTTTTTTTTTTGGTTCACAATTCCCATGATCAAATTTCTTGTAATTTTGTCTTTAAAATGATGACGTGGTATGGCCATAAATTCTTGCAAGAAGTCTTTTAAAGTCTTTTAAATGTCAAGTCACTAGTATGGCCCACCTATTTATTATTTTAAATTATATTATTACATGAATATGTCATTTATATATTAAATTACATTGATACATATCTTTTGTTCAGTTACTTTGTCATATTGGTTTGTTATTTCATATATTCATAGATAAAATATATTTAATTATAATTAAGTTAAAAAATTAAATTGTAGTCGTAGCTATTTAATTACAAATTTTCTTTTATAAATATATTATTATATGGATACCCTTTTATATTATAAGAATTGTCTTATATTTATATGAAAAATATTTTATATTTATACACGAACAAAATAATGGGTTATATATATATATATATATATATATATATATATATATATATATATATATATATATATATATATATATTGTTTTGTGAAACCTTTTATAAAAGCAATCTTTTATGTATAAAAAAGTAATATCTTCTATTTCTATACAAAATATTTTATATTAATGTATAAAATTAGAAAACTACTTCCGATGTAAACAAAAAGGTATTTTCTATTTATAGAAACAGAAAACAAAGTGTTATAAGTAAACAAAAAGCACATATAAACAAAAACAATCGTACGTACTATATTTATATTTTAAACAAAAGTAAACTCTTCTAAAAGAAATAATATTTTACATCTAAACATTTTCATAAACACATCAACTAAAATAATAAGATATTTATTAAAGGGTTCAATTATTTGTATCGTTTTTATTTTCTTAAAAGATCCCTTAATAATTACTTTAAGGGGTCCTTTCAAAAAATCTGGAATCTAAGTAGGATCCTTTTAAAGATATAAAAAGATAATCATTAATATATCATTGGAGACCATTTGCGTAAATGTGTTAGCATTACTTTATTGTCTCATAGATTTTCCTAACGCATGGAGTTTTGCAGAACAATAATCTTGCCACATCATCAGGCACACGTCCTGGTCAATCCCATGTGTACGGCTTACGTCATCATGACGACTTACCCAAGACTGTTATTTTGACTATAAATCAAGGTTCAGATGTGAGCACCATGGATTTTCACCCCGAGTACCCCACTGTGCTTCTAGGTAGTTCTTCATATATAACTCAGGTTTTGGAGTTTCCATTTTCTTTATTTTAATATTCATTTTCCACGTGGCTTTTCCTTTTTAATTTCTTTTTCAGTTGGAACAAAAACGGGTGATATTTCCATTTGGGAGGTAGCTAGCAAGTTGAGAATTGCACTTAGAGGTTTCAATGTTTGGAACATCATGGCATGTTCAATGTCTCTTCAGGCATGACCATTGACTCATAGATTAACACCTCATTTTGACTTTTACTATAATTTTTTTTAATCCTTTTAATGTCATCTGTTATATGTGTTCAGGCTTCTTTGATCAATGATCCAGTCATCGTCAACCGTGTTACATGGAGTCCAGATGGCCTTTTTTTGGGTATCACCAAAAAAAACAATTTTTATTTTTTTCATTTGAAGGATATAATTATATATACTAAAAATTCAGTTAATGAGTAATGTATTTGGATTTCTGTAACAGGTGTCGCGTATTCCAAGCACATTGTACACGTGTACTCATATCGTGCTGGTGATGAGTTACGAGATCACCTTGAGGTGCATACATTATATATAATATAATAAATATTACATGTATTTATTTTATAGTTTTTTTATTTCTTTTATGTACTAATTATTAATTATTTAATTCAGATCGAGGCTCATGTTGGCAATGTTAATGATATTGTGTTCACCATTCAAAACCAGAAGTTATCCTTTATTACTTGTGGAGATGATAAGATGATTAAGGTTTGTTTAATTTAACATTCACACATCACAAATATATGACAAGTTTAAAACGATTATACTAGTGTGAATATAATTCTTTAAATTTGTAGGTGTGGGATGCTGCAACAGGTGTCAACGAACACACCTTTGAAGGTCATGATGCACCCGTCTATTCTGTATGCCCACATCGTAAGGAACACATTCAGGTATATCTCATATTCGTATAAAATCCAAATTTTATCTTTATATAAATGGAATTTTTTTTTATAAAAGCCAATATATTTTGGGCTGAACCATTGCTATTCTATTTTGTTTATCTCAATGAAATCATACAAGTGTGAGACATTTTTCCAATTTAACAGTTTTGACTTGTTATATCACATTTTACCGCTTATGTAACTTAATTTTTTAGAATAAAAGAATGGCGTGTCGATTATTATTAGTAAAAAAAAAAACTATAACTAATACTACTTTATTATTTTTTCCGACATGTGATCCCTTAAATCTTTTTGATGTTTTCAAAGATGAAACGTATTTGGGCCAGGCCTCGACTCAAAGTCACAAACTACCCCAAAAATATAATGATTCGAAATGATAATCGACACGCCATTCTTTTTGAAGTATTTAAAACAAGGATGAAATTGTCCAAAATATAATGACCTTCGTATAATTTTAACTTTATATTATAAACAAACTAATTTAAAGTATTAATTTATCTTGGCTAGTTTATCTTTTCAACATCTATTGATGGAAAGATCAAGGCATGGTTATATGATGATATTGGTGCAAGGCTAGATTATGATGCACCAGGTTACACTTGTACAAGAATGGCATATAGCAAAGATGGGTTGAGGTACATACATATGACATATAATATATATATATATATATATATATATATATATATATATATATATATATATATATATATATATATATATATATATATATATATATATATATATATATATATATATATATATATATATATATATATATATACACCCCAACATCTTCATTATTATATTTATTAATTTATTACACTAAACTCTTTAAGGATCACTTTATTTATTATATAATTTTCAAAATTGTAGGCTTTTCACTTGTGGTTTTAGCAAAGACAGGGAATCATACCTTGTCGAATGGAACGACAGTGAAGGTACTGTGAAACGAACATATTATGGTCTCGGGAAACAATTTGCGGGTGTTGTGCAATTTGACACAACCAAGAAATTATTAGCAGCTGGAGATGAATTTTCTATTAAATTCTGGGACATGGATAATAAACATCTTTTGACTTCTACAAATGCTGAGGGTGGATTACCGGTAATTTTTTTTAAAATTCCGTTGTTTTTTTAGTTGTATCTTTGGTACGTAAATTGTTTTTAAATTTAATTTACAGGCGTCACCGTGTATTCGGTTCAACAAAGGTGGAATACTTTTGGCTGTATCAACTTCTGAAAAGGGTATAAAAATACTTGGGAATACAGAAGGTGCTCGGATTATAAGATCCAATGATGATCGCCGGAAAATGCCAGGTGTCAGATCTAGAAACCCTGATGATATGGAAGTTTCCGGTGTTTGGAAGCCAAAAGAAATCACTGAACCTTCACAACTTCGTTCCATGAGGCTTCCTGATAATATGTTGTCAGTTCGAGTAAGTTGATCTTTTTGACTTAATCTGAACAAAATAACTTATTGGGTTAAGCCAAAATAATAGACATAATTGCATAATGTATTAAAAGACTAACCTTTACCTATTTTTCATTTTTCTTTTTTCCTCCCAACTCCTCACATTGCACTTTGTGAACATCTTTAAATTTAATGAATATTATGAAATTTGTATTTTGGAACGTTATCTGATTTTGAAAAGAAACAAACCTTACACTATATACTAACACCCATCATTATCTATTCAACCATTTAACCCCTATCGTACATATCTTAATGTGAAAAAAGTAACAACTCTCAAGTATCGCATCTTTAATAGATATTTTTTTATTGAATTTAATGTTTTCATTTGTTGTGTTTTCAGATTTTAAAACTTATGTATGCAAACTCTGGGACTTCCATACTTGCACTTGCTTATAACGCTGTACACAAACTATGGAAATGGGAAACGAACAACCAAAACATAGCGGGAACTGTACGTACTCAACTTTTATATCTCTAAACTTCATATGGTTTTACCTATTTACCCTTTACAAATGTTTTTTTTTTTTTTTTTTTTTATAGGCAACCACTAGTGCCCTACCACATCTATGGCAACCATCTAGTGGAATTCTAATGACAAATGATATTAGAGATGCAAATCTTGATGATACGATTTCTTGTCTCGCTCTTTCAAAGAACAGCTCATATGTTTTATCAGCATCAGGTGGAAAAGTATCCTTGTTTAATCTCACAACATTTAAGGTAATTTGTTTTTTTCTTGGGTAAATTACAGAAAAATCCATTATATTTTGTGTAATTTTACCTTTCAATCGTATTTATACTTTTTTTATGAGACCATAATAGTATCAAACATTTCTCAAATTAACTATTTTGATTGTCATAATGGTTAATATGTAAAGTTACCACTGAAACCTGAAAAGTATTTTTACTTTGAGAAAATGTCCAAAACTTTATGGTTAGACCGTAAAAAAAACAAAGTATTAATATTTTAAACTCAAAATATAATTACATTTTTGTAATTTGTAAAGTTTCATGTATTTAATATTTTCCATGTATTTCATAAATAAATGAATGCAGACTATGACAAGATTCGGGCGCCCACCACCATCAACAACATGTATTGTTTTTAATCCACATGACAACAACATTATCGCAATTGGAATGTCGGATGCTTCAATTCACATCTACAATGTTCGTGTTGACAAGGTATTATTCAAAAAATTTTAGTTTATATATATATATATATATATATATATATATATATATATATATATATATATATATATATATATATATATATATATATATATATATATATATATATATATAAATTTTTATGTATTAATCGAATAATGATTTAATTTTTTTATAAATTACAGCTCTTGGAAAAGCTAACGGGTCACGAGAATAGTGTAACTGGGCTTGCATTCTCTATGGATAAAAACATTCTAATCTCATCAGGATCTGATGCTCAATTATGCGTTTGGAAAACCGATACTTGGGAGAGACATACAAACAAATTCTTACAAACTCCTCCTGGAAGAACAACAAATCCCTATTCAGAAACCCGAGTACAGTTTAACCCTGAGCAGACACGTGTCCTGGTTATTCACGAAACACAAATCGTCATTTCTGACCCAATCAAACTCGACTTTTTGATGCAGGTAACAATCAAACTATTTCATATATCCGTAATTCTTGTAGGGTAAATTTCGGATTTAATTTCAGTTGAAAAGTTGTTATGTGATTTTTTTTACATAAAACCGCTGATAATTTGGAATTTTTTACTTTGTCATTATGTGCCACGATAACCGATTATAGTTGGTAACTAATGGCTTAACTAAAAATAATGTTTTCTCAGCAAAAAAAAAATCGTAATGCTATTTTTTTGGTAAAAGCCTGAAAATGTAACGCTTTTCCGAAGTCTTCTTTTTTATATTTATGAAATCAATATATGTATTTTTACAGTGGATTCCGCGACATGGAAGTGGAGCAATTACGGATGCGGTGTATTCATGTGATGGGAAATCGATATTTGTTACCATTGAAGATGGGAGTGTGAATGTTCTGAATGCAAAGTACTTGAGGCTGAAATGTCGCATTAGCCCTTCATCATATATACCAACTACCTCAAGGGTGTGTCCACATGCGATTGCTGCTCACCCATTTGACCCGAATCAAGTTGCAATGGGGCTTTCAGATGGCGGAGTTTATGTTATTGAGCCTCTAGAGTCGGATAAAAAGTGGGGGAGTGACCCGGATGTCAGTTTGGGATTAATGAGTTAATTATGAAGAATAAAGAATAGTTTGAGTGTTGGTTTATGTTTTTGGAAGGTAAAACTGTTTGTCTTAGTTTGTGTTGGATGTTTTTCAGTATGGTGTAATAACCGGATAATGTGTTAGGATTTTATCTGTGGTTTTATGTTTTGTGTTTAAGTGGTGTGCTTGGAGTTTTTTATGAATTTATGGATTCCTTGGAAGTTTTTTGGTTTTAAAAAACTAAATATTATTATAGAATAACCTTGACTAGACTTTCGAAATGATTTTATATATTGCACTAAAAATATAAACAAAAAGGAACTTGAAAATTTGAATTTGGAGTCGTGAAGATTCTCAACAATGAACTTTATGCCTATATATACCATTAAATCGTGGTGCACAAAATCGATTTTGAAACTGTACATGGTCGAGCTTTTAGGGTAAAGTAAAATAAATCAGTTTTCCAAAAAATTGGTTTGGTCTTTAACCGATTTTGTGACAAAAAAGTATGACCTAGTATAACAGGTTTGTAAATAGTTCCTAAAGTTTTTTTTTTTTTTTTTTTTTTTTTTCTAACTTTCTTGGTTTATAACCGTTTTCAATTATCATGTCATAATCTTTTTTTTAAGCTATATATTCAAATATTCATGTTCTAACAAGTAACTAGAACTTTTAAGAAAAGGATTGCCGTAAACAATTAACTCAAGCCACCTTTTCTTGTTAGTCGACCACTTGGAGCCATTTACCCAAGAAAATCGTTGGACTATAGAACCAGATACAAGAAAGATGACATCACACATACATGCTAAACGACACCACACATGCATCAAAACTTGACATTGAAAAAAAAGGATGATTAGTAGTCTCCATGTCCGTATCGCAAATCAGGCACATCAATGATTCCAATTCAATGCCTTTTTCGACAAGCTAAAATGAGTTGGGAGCTTGTCAATGATTAATCGTCAAATAAAGATATTTATCTTCGTCAGGACTATTCTACACCACCTTGTACTATTATTACGATCAGCGTAACGTCTCTCAAAATATAGAGTAAAAATTTCATTTTTACATAAATCAAACCAACCAAAACCCTTTTCATAAAAGATCATCATAGTTTCAAATCTAGTTTTGAAAAAGACATCAAAGTATCATAAAGCGATAGTGCGAAAACTCAAGCGGATGCGGTGCAATCACGTTGTGCTCTTCCATGTTTTGATAAAATACCTGCCACATTTAAACTTAAAATCGTAAGCACAAATCTTATTGAGTTTCCGACGTTACCACGATACCAATACAGGTTCCGCCCAAAGTACATAACGGACCCCATCCAACATGAATAAGGGGCCCTCCCAACTTGCATAACGGGCCTCGCCCAACATGCATAATGGGCCCCGCCTAATATACATAACGGGCCCCGCCCAACATACATAACATACATGCAAGAGTCACAAAGATAATCTAGCATTCTACAAAGTATAGTGAGAAGACTCATTTGAACTACTCAATAGAAGCCAACAACTACCTCAATAACAGAACAACTAACCCAAACTACCTAATACCAAACCAAGACCATTCCTAAGTCAAGTACACGATTCTACCAAAGTTTGACCAAAAGTCAAAGTGTTCAAAAAGTTAACGATCAATGGTTAACCATCCATCGAGTGCCGCGTTGGGCTAATCCCCTTGGCCGCGTCGTGGTTACTAGAGGACAAAACAAACGCGGGTTGACAGACTATCACGCCCTAGTTAACCGTGTCGTGGTGAACGTCCTCAACAACTTATTCCATTAAGCTCTTGACCCTTAAGTTCATAGTTCTAAAGCTCATATCTAGATCGACTAAACCTATTCATGAATAAAGTTCCCAACTTTATTCATTTCTTCCATTCAATAAGTTAAGATCCTAAACCCTAAGCACGATTGGAACGGATCTCCAAGCATAGCTCAAATGAGAAGCATGCATATGCATTTTTCTATAAACCAACAAGTCCAGAAGTCATTACATCTTAGAATATTGCTCTAGGGTTCTCTAAACTAAAAGAACTCCAAAGAAATGGGATAAAATTGACCAAAATGACATAAAACCAAGATTTAACAATCTAATGAACAAGTTTGAGACTTTATACCTCAAGTAGCTCTAGGATCATGATGAGAATGTTGGAATAAGACTTCAAGAAAATAAGAACCACCTTCTACAACCACAAGCTTCAACATCAATGGAAAACCAAGGTTAAAGCACGAAGAACACAATTGCTAGAGGGAGATAGAGCTAGGGTTTCATTTTGGGAGCTAGAGGCGGCAAAATGGGCAAACTGTAATCCTTATATTCCTTAAATAGGGCTCAAGGCTTGAGTCCTAGGGATTTGTAACAATTGGTAAAAATAGGAACAATCGTACGATGCTATGTTTTGATTATTAAACAATATGAGTATTTTATCAAGAATGGTTGAAAGAATTTAACCTCTTTTATTTAAATAAGTTCTTGTGAAATATAAAACAAGTAACTAACGATAATTTCGTTATGATGTATGACTACGAACCATCACCGGTTTGTGAAATTAGCATATAACATCATTTAAACGCAACAAACTTAATTTTTGTATCAACATGTCTCTAGTTGATAAGTAAGTTAGGTTCTATGTAAAACATTTGCTTAATAGATGTGAAGGATCTAAATTTGACAAATATACGAACCAAAGTGACAAAACGTGTTTAATGATATGGTTAACCGGTTAAATGTCACGAAATTATACATTGCTCAATAAATTTTATATTTAAATAAATTAAAATATAAAATGAATTATTATAAGGTATATATAAAATGTATTTAAGTGTTTTTGAATAAAAAGAATAAAACATAAACATTAAAGTTCAAATACACAAAAACTACATTGTTATTTTATACTAAGTATACATGTATGTATTTGTATATATGTATTATTATCTAGTGAATGACAAGTTATGAGTCATGAATTAAAGTGATTTCATGTAAGTTTTATGATGTCTAAATCAATTAAGATAAGAGAATTAGTGGAGATAAGTGCCAGCTTAACTAATAAGTGCTTAATCACTTAAGACATTTTAATAAGAATGCTTATTAATCCCTCTTCTAATTTTCGAGATTAAGACCTTCCCTCTCCTTAACTAGAACTCCTAACTAACTAAATAACTAGTAGTTAGTTATTTAACTAACTCAATCTCTAAACAACCACCCAAGCAAATGGCTAGACAAGATCACATCACTTAAATTTACATCCCATCACAAGCTAGTCTAGGTTTTGTCCCCTTATCCTCTTCCACTCTTTTCTCCTTCATAATCACGAAATTTCATCTTCATTTTACCCTCATTTGACCAACAAATATTCCAGGGAATTTCTCTCAACCTTCATCTCATTTTCAAGCACAAGAACTTCCTTCCAAAGCCATCAAAACCATGAACTAAAGGGCTGCTGTCCCTTTTGTGTTTCAGCCACCATTTCACCCATCTACACCTTCCTTTTGCTTGATATTTTTACCACCAAATACCCCTGGAAGTTACTTGTTTTGATACTCAAAATTATTGATTCAAAACAGTGAGTAAACTACCCTTTTTTTCTTGCTCTTTTGCTGTGAAATTTTCGTGACAGCAACATAGCCAAAAGAGTGACTGTTTTGGAGCATCAAAACAACAACCAAAAGTTCATCTTCAACCTTCCATTCTTCAAGTATTCACATAAGGTGAGTTCATAACCCTACATTTTCATGTTTTCTTCAAGTCTTAAGGAGGGGAATACAAGTTAGAACACTAAACATAACTTAAATTTAAATGACAGCTTTCTACAGAAAAGTTGAGTCCTGTTCACGGACTGTTTTGACCATCTTAAACTTAATATCTTTCAAAACTGTACAATATGAAAATAGTTCAAGTTTATACCTTTCTAAGGACTACTCGCACGCGTTCATACGATTTTTCTACAATTTATGGCGATTTTTATAAAACTGTCTGTCATTTCAGAAATGATTTCAGACCAGTCTGTGAAGATGTTCATTTTCGCACTAGTTTGAGACCACTAAAAATCATAATAAAAATTAGGAACAAAGTATACTCATTTTATAAACTCTCAGAGGTGACGGATTCAGTTTTTGACTTATGATGATTTTTCTATGAGTTTTCTAAAAACAGGGACAGTAAAGGGTAAAACTGTCAAAAGTGGTTTATAGATTTATTAACACCTTCTAACATTTTTGAGCAATGTTTATACATTGAGGAAGTTAAAACACAATCATTTAAATATGTTTAATTACCATTTTTACAAAAGTGATAAGTACAAAAAGATCTTTAGTATCAAACTTAAGGATTATTTCATGCAAAGTTTCTAATAAAAACGTAAGAATATGAACAACAATTACGAAACATACCAAATCATCTTTTAAAACTTATACATATATATAACCATATACATATATAGGTTTTGTTTACAAACTTGTCTTCTACATCAAAATTTTCACTTTACTCGTTTTTATCAAATGAATCACTTGTGATTTATTACTACTATGTGAAAACTCTTGTCATACTTTGCATGCACTAGATTTATACAAAGTATTTAGAAATTCCAAAGTATCCTTCGTTGTTAAACCGTTTTAATACATTTTAAAAACTTATGATTTATGCATTGTCAAAACTTTGTGAGAAAGGATGATCTTTGCATACAAAACTATTACTTTAATACAAACTTAGTTGAGAATCCGTGAGACAAGTACATCTTCAAACACTGCCTTTTTGCTAGAAGGTATCGCTACAAGTCCTGTCTATAACCAGAGTCTCCCGTTTGGAGAACGTGTCAAATGTGTATAGATCTATATGGGAAGTCATGATCCCGCGCCCTGACTGTTAGCTACAGTACAGTCCGTCCTTTGGGGTGACAGTTTGTCATAACGCTACGACGCCTGAAGAACGTCGCTACAGGCATATTATGTTTAGTATGGTTATAAAACTCACCGGATATACAATTAATACGGTATTATGCTTTTATAAACGAGTAGCTATTAAAACTATGCTACAACTTTTAAGCATGTCGGTTGCTTGCGATTTTCGGTCTTAGAGACTGCCAGTTATGTTAGGAAAATAAGGGTTTTTCCTATATACAAACTAAACAACTAATAGGAAAATAAGGGATTTTCCTGGTGCAATTATTTACAACTT